CCGAGTGCTTGGCATTTATACCGGTGTTCCCTTCTATCTGTTACTGGTGCACGCTTAAGGTTAGACCCCAAACTTGAACATGGCAATAATCACTACACGGTGGCCCTGGTTTTAAAAAGCAAAACTGAAAAACAAAAAGTTGTGCTGTGCCCTTTATTTCGCTTAAACCCAGATCAACAGTTTTCTGCTATATTAAAAAAAAAAACAAAAAAAAAAAAAATGAAAACCAAAAAACTCTGGTTTCAACTTGGTTGATTTGCAATGAGCTGGAACAAGACAGGGGTATGGCAGACAGGCCTGAGCTGCAGGTCCTGCCTACCCAGGAAGGAGGCAGGGAAGTCACGTCAAGGTCTGTTTAATGCTGGTTATTAAAACAGGATCATTCAGATTAACTAGAGTTAACAAAAGCCACTGGAATGGACTGACTCATCCTCAACCCTCTGAACATGCTCTGAGAAAGCAGTCTGGCTTCCAACAGCTTAAAAAGATTGGTATCTGGCCCTAATTTTCAGTCTACCTGCAAAGGCAGAGAAGCCAAGGCTGTATACTCCCAAGCAATGACGCACACAGGAGCAAAAACACTTGTTTTGGAAACCTATTTGACAGCATTTCCCTAAACCGTAAAAAGCAGTAGCAAGAAAGCCCCAAGAGAGACCTCTTTCTGCAGTCACCTTTAAGAGTCCACCATAACCACCAGCAAAAATTGGTTGCCTGCTAGATGCTAATCTTTAAAAGCCTAAACAAAACCAATGCAAAACTTGAAGGATATTTTAAAGTGGCCACTGGGGACTGGGGGTTGCCTACTTTAAGTGCATCCTTAGCACAAGCTTGCCTGTTATCATTCACAATAATGTTTTCACTGGGAAATCCACTGGGCACTGTGTGGGCTGGTTAATGCTATTCTGTTGCCTTTATTTCGAAGGGCTTCATTTAGACTAGCTTTAATTACACTTCACTGCAAGTAGATTCTACGTGCCTAGAGGGAGAGATTGCCCTCCCCGATTCAGATTTCCAACTCAGAACTGCATGAGGCCCAGGAATGTGACTCCTGGCCTCCCCGAGTTACCAAGCAAGGAGACTACCCAGCAGAGGCTCTTAAGCACCCTTCATCAGCTGAGAATCTTAGCATCTGCTTGGATGAAGGTGGAAGTCATGGTCCCAAAATTTAATATACTGCATGGGGCCTGATGAGATACTAGCAATGTGGGAAAGGCAGGGATGCACAGATCATCTTTCTAGATGGAGGAACCTGCGTTTCTTGCAGAGCTTCTGGATAAGCAGCTTTTGTTCCTTATAGTCAGGACACTTTCTTCTATGAACTCACCTGCAGTACTGAAAATCACCTATTGCTGATGAGTGCAGGTGATGTGACTTAGCTGCAAGCGTAGACTAAATCAAACCATGATCATCTGCAGCTAGTTGCCAGAGATGGGCATGTCTGGTAGTATACAGACAGAGCATTAAAAATATCCAAAGTCCCCTACCTCTAAACCTCCCCTTCCCTGCAAGCATTTCACTTAGAAACAGCACAGCCCGCTGTACTGTATTATTCTATTCTGCACCCACTGGAGCCTTCAGACTAAAAGCTGAGCTCGTTTGCATAGCACACGTTACCTGCTGCACAACACGAGTGCTGGAGAAGCGTGCCCTCGCGTGCACTGTGCAACGGCAGCTGATGCAGAGTTTGGCCTGCAAGGCACTCCTTGGTTGTGCTCTGAAACCTAGGAGCTCTTTATAGCAAAAATGTTTCCAGCTCATGGCAACAAAGAAAACCGTCCACACATGAAACACATCCCTACGGGCCTCATATGAGGCCCCTTCTGTAGATAGCAGGAAACAATACCTCAAAGACACGAGTTGCCTTGTTCAATTTGGTAGGACATTGGCTCTGAAGCCTAACAAGGCCAACATGAATCATCGGCATCATTAACAATTACGGCTGGCTGTTTTAACATCCAGCCGAACCAACAAAGCAAGACCAATTCCCATACCTTTCCAGATATCAAGAGACTCCACTGACCTTTTACCTGGCTATGAAAACCTCCAGGCTCCCAACACTTTCTGTAATAGGTTAGTCATTTTCAATTCACATTTCTGAAGCAAACTGAGTATTAAAAATTTAAAGGGCAGTGTACAGCAAATTGGATTTTATATCAAGTTATTCAGAAGGGAAATGGTAACAACTAAATTACCTATGAGAATGAATAATCCAGTACAAGCCATCTCACTTCCTTAGCTAATCTAAGTTACCGCACAGTCACCAGCCTATTTCAATGACGTGCCCCAGAAGTGAGGGGAACTTGCTGAAGAGCCGAGGCCTGATCTGCAAACCTCACAAAGCCTGAACAAGTCAGATTTACGGACAGGAAGGACAACACTGGCCAAAGCCCCAGGTTGCTACTCACCAGGAAGCGGACATCGTCAAAGCCATTCAGAAGGAGCTTACTCTCGTACTGCTGCAGGCCGATGGACTCCAGCCACTCCCCAACGCTCTGCTCCAACATCCGCGAACCTGACGAGAGAGGAATCGGCAGACGCTTGAAAAAGTTAAAACCATTAAGGCGGTAGCAGCGGCACTCTGAGGAAGACAGATGGCATTGCCACATCATAGTCATTACTATAAGGAAGCCAAACTATGACCACAGTACAATCAATCAGCTGGCAGACAATCCTCTTGTACGCACAAGACCATGGAGCTTCTGGCACGGTCCACAGGCTGAGGCTTTAATCGGTTTCCCAGCGATACTCAGACACACCCTCTGCCAGAGGAAGTTCCCGGGACCATGGCATCACATGCATTGCTTTCGGGACTTAAGCGTTTTCCTTGCCAGACACAGGAGCGAAGCCCAACCCCCACACGGATGCTAATCCACTCCTCGACTCATCTGAGGGGGCAGGAAAACTTTCGAACAAGGCATTCCATGTCAGAACTGCAGGTGCGGGAGCACAGAGAGGAGCTGCTCACAAATGCACGCAGCTGCGCGGGTCCCCTCGTCCATGCAACTTCAGATGCACTACCCTGTACAGCAGGCCAGCGAGAAGGGCCATTAACACTGGAGGCACAAAGCAGCAAGGGAGAAAATACATCCTCATGCAGCTGAGAGAGACGCAGACAGACACGATGGACTTGCAGAAAAGCAGCAGCAGTAGCAGCCAGACTAGAAAAGAGTTGTCCACAGGAAGACATGCAAGACAGAAAGAAAGCACACAAACGGCAGCAGAAGAAAGGAAGGGTTTATACTTTTTTTCCCCAAGCAGTCCTGAAAGAGGCAAACCATGGTAAGGGGTTTCTTGCCGTTATTGTGTTAGGAGGAGCAGAGGCATGAATGACAGGGAGCCTGAGTTTACGAGTCCTGGCATCATCATTTTACCACCTGTCCAGAGGCATGACATCCCGGCAGGCTGCTCTGACTGCACTGGGCTGGGAACCAGATTCCGCATCTAGCCTGGAGCAGCTAACTACACGGCAGCGCTGGATGGGAGCAAAAGATAAAGAGGAATCAGCACATTTTTCACCCACTGTGTTCAGTCCTGCCAGGTGTTTGGCACAGGCTCGGATTTGCCCTTCCTTCATTTTCTGTATCTGAGCACAGATCCAGCTGTCTGAGCCCCTCAGTCAAAGGGAAAGCAGCTCTGGGGAAGGAGGCATTTCAGTCCCTTGCTCCAAAACCAAGCCACAACAAAAAAAAAGAAGAAAGGGGGGAGAGGGGGGGGCTTCAAAGCATATACCCACACACTCCCTTCTTCCTGCAGCAGCTCAAGTCCGAGACATGCCCTGGCAACTCTTTACAGCCTTTGACAAATTGGACGTTTTTCAGAACACCCTACAGGAGCCCATGGACTGGCTCTCCCCTTCCTCAACCCCTGGGAAGAGAGTCTAGCAAACTTGTTACTTTCCTTTATCAAGGCTTCGGGTGTTAGAGAGAGCAAGAAAAGTTCAGAGACTTCCTTTGCATCTGGCTTGGAGGATTTGGTATGCGAAACATGCAGGATTCCTCAGGCTTCCTGGTGCAGCTGTCTCTCAAGGGCATTACTCAAAATAAAGATGACCAGGAAATCACAGGTGTTTTCTTTGAGCCTTTTGGTCAATTGATGCAACTGTGCACAGTCTAAGCCATCCTTCCCACTCCCACCCCACTGCAATGGCTGCACAATGCAGAGCTCACTGTTATCTGAAAAACCTCAGGGTCAGGGATCCTGCTGCACTGGTCCACGGGAGTGCTCCTCTTCCAAGCAAGCTGTGGTCATCGGTGAGATGTACAGTGCCAGCCAGTCTTTCTACTGCATGCTGCAGCGCCCAAGAGGCAGAGATCACCAAAGGCTCCTGTCTCCCTTCTGTATCGCAGCCTGTGCAGAGGGACAGCATCTAACCCTGGAATTCATGCAGCAAGATCCTGCTAGTCCGTGGACTCCATCCTTCCCCACCATCTATCCAATTCCAGGTCTGGAAGCAGCCCGGCAGCTGTGGCCTTTTACCAAGTGATCATGTGTCCTTGCAGAGAGCTGCAGCAGAGTGCTTTGTCTGATGCCAGCGAGCTCCACGCTTGCTGCTCCACTCACAGTCCCGTCTCTTGCTCACACACTGCCTGTCCCTCCCCTCCCTCCATCCTCTCACCCCTCCCAGATTTTCCATCTACCATGCAAGAAATGATCAGACTCCACAACAGAAGCTGCTGAGGGAGAGGAGAAGGGAGGGGGGAAAGACAGCAGCTTTATAGCTGTGAAGTGGAAATTACCAGCTTCTATTTACTAGATGGATTAACACAGCTTGGTTTTCAAAAAAATGATGTTACAGGTTTGCTTTGACAGTTTAAAGTGATTTGTGGTTTGCTCAGAATTAATATCTAAGGAGGGAGGTGGAGCGGTTTCCTGCTGCTCTAACCCAAGCATGTCTAGCTACAGACAGGGACTCGATGAGAGGGACTGAAGCAACCCTGGATCTTTTCTTTGAGCCTGTTCATATGCAGTGTTGAATATTCCCTCAGTCTTCTTTCCATCTCTTCCAGGGAAAAACAGTAACATACCAATTTCGCATCTGCTGAGGTGCCCAGTAAAATAGGGGGTGGGAGAAGCAGGCATACTGGATTTTTAATACAAGACAAGACAAATGGTGGTGAGAGGAGAATCCCAAAGATCAAACATTAGATTCTACAGTGTTAAGACAACACAGTGCAAGATCCACTCGAATTATTTATTCCTTTGCGTTTCAAAGAAAGCAGAAGAGTGACTTAGCTCCCAGTAGTCACAACCATAACAGGAGTCTGATAACAACTTCTCAGGAGTAGGTGGAAAGGTTCGAAATCCTAAATCTCATCAGCTCCACCCTCCTTCCCTCTCCAAGCCTTAAAATTATAGGGTGGAGTTGCAATTTCCCATAACAAGTCTGATCCAGAAAATGCTGCAGTCTGGGAAAAAGTAGGTAAAAAGAACCATCAGAAATAGATGGGTATTTTCACTAATCGGAAACAAATAATTCACTTCCCCTTGGAGATGTCTTTCCCAAATAATGGAAAAAGCTTTCGCAATGCAAAGGCAATGGAGCTGAGCCCATCACGGTTTCAAAAGATCCAACTACAGTACAAGAGTCCTTTTGTAATGGCACACACAACAGCAATTGTTAATTAAATGCCAAGAGCACGTCTGATGCTAAAGAAAGCGTCTCCTACTTGATATAGGCATGGGCACGGATGGGTGTTCTAATACAACTGGGTTCTGCATGTGTGGACATGAAAAACCGGCATTAGGAGAAGGCTGGAGAGAAAAGACACAAGTTTATTCTTAGGTCTTTACTACAGCCCACCTTATAAACACAATTCACAGGCAAGGGGTGCAAGGAGAAGGGCCAAATTTCAGATAGCGGAATTGTTACCACTGAAAGAAGGACAGAACAGCACATTAGCTAAGATATATGAGCAGCAAGGACTAAATAAGTTAGCCATTAGCTCTCTCGGTTGCAGGAAATATAGCCAGCATTCAGCATTACTAGGATTAAAACTGATTAGCCACATGCAGATTGCTAATGAGCCTCCCTTTTCTGCCCAGTAAAATGCTGTGCACGTTTCATGCTCATGGCTTGAGCTAACTGCAGAGTTAACTCACACGGCCCCAAATAATTCCCTGTCCAGCGCAAGCCTCCCTCCTGCATCAGGCTGATTGATTGTGCAGAGACCACTCATCTCCTCCGGCCTGGAGAGAGAAACCCTGCCTGACAAACTGCTGTAAACCAAAAGGCACCACACGTCTCTCCTCCAATGCCAGCAGCCAAAGCTGCTGTGAGATAGGAAACTGCAGTGCAGTGGGCTTGAGTTTCTGCCTGGGAAGCCATTCCTCACCCACTGGTAACCCCTGATACTTCTGTTATTTCAACACATAAGGCGGCAGATGTCAAGCACAAGTACGGGGGAAGAAATGGTCGGGTGGAGGTTGCTGGGATTAAGTAAACGTAAGACTGCACAACACGTTAACTTCTGCGGGCCCACACACTTAAGGCAAAAATCACAGCAGCAATACAAAGCCCTTTGTTCCCAGGCCAGAAACCTCTTTCTAAGACAGAGTTTAGGTGGAGAATACAACGTCCTGTAAGAGATGATGTCCGGACTGTGCAAACCACTGCAAAGTGCTCACAGATACAGATCAATGAACACTTGGTTAGATAGCCGCTCCCCTCCCCTCCTTTTTATTTTTTGGCCTATGCCACCCACCCGTTGTATCCAACCAAAGCGCAGGCTGGCTCAGAGAGCACATTTCCCCACAAACCCCACCAGGAGATTAGAAATAAATTCTAATCCCAAATCCCATAATAGAAACAGGTAGCTATCTGAGGTGATAAGAGCTATAAGGTTATTGGACAGCCCCAGAAGCTTTAATATATTTATCCTCAACACCACTATGAGAGAAGGAGGTGATGCTGGCCCTCATTTACAGATAAGGAACTAAAGGCAGAGGTTAGTCACCTGTGCAAGAACACATGCATGTAGCCTGTGGTACAGCAGGGATTCAAATCTTCTCTCAGGTCCTGGCCTACAATGTCCTAAAACTGCTGCGACCAACCCTTCCCCTCCAAAATTGGTCAGACAGGTACAGTAATGCAGCTAGAGGAAACAGAGGCTCAGAACAATATAGCTGCTGAGCAAGGCAACCTTGCTTTCAAAGAAAGCAAAGCAGTGACCAAGGGGTTGTAATTGTAATGGCTCTGATACTCTCAAATGTCATCTGCTTTCAGGGAGGTGAAGCCCAAGGAGAACCATGCCGTGATCTCTGCATATACAGGATGACCAATTTGGTATGCGAGACGCGCAGGATTCAGCGGGAACTGAACAGTGAAACTAAAAACCGCTAGGAAAAAAAAAGAAGATGCATCAAGGTATCTTTCTAGCTTAACCACCCCCAGGACAGTTCTGCTCATGCTTCCAGAAAGCAAGAAGCTGGCAACACATTTGCCAGGTCTCAGCAATTAAAGTTAATGGAAAGGTAGCAGGGAAAGAAAGGAAAGCACTCAGGAAAATTGCTGCA